CAAACAGAGGTTTGGGAGTTTGGGAGTTGAAGGACCGGAGGTACGGCCGGAGTTCCGGGAGTTCGGAAGTACAGTACTAAGTCCCGGAAATGGGATACTTCCCGGAAAAGGGTGCAAGTCCCGGAAGTTGGAATGAAGTCCCGGAAATCGGAGTTGTTGTCGCACGGGATGTAACACACATCCACAACACCACCACGGGAAACAACAGTCGATTGAACAACTCCCAGCAACGGAAGCCCTCCGCGGTGGAACCTTCACCTAGGATGAATTTGTTTGTAGTAAAGCGACCAGATCTGCCTTGCACTGCTCCAGGTCGCATGGATCAACCCAGACACACACTGGGTCAGGTATCACATCCTGCTCTGAAGCCTGTGGCCACCAAGGCAGCATTGCAGTGCTTCTCATGTGGGCAAATTGGGCATTTCATGTTGGACCCGGCCTGTCCCAACCATGGCAAGAAGACCGCTCCTGGTCAGCGCATGTTCACGCAATAAGTAGTGGATTACACCTCAGACAATGGACAACAGAACACGCCCGTCGAGACCCTGATGGTTGAATTTGACATTGCTGAAGCCACAGGCCATGCGGAGGACACACAGGGATTGGCCCTGGAGACCGAAATGGTCCAGGACTTCCTGCAGTCCAAATTTGAGTTTGTAGGGTTGCAATATGAATCTGCGGACAAACAAGTCCAGTCGGAATGGGAAGATTTCAAACACAACGACACTGTGTATATGAAAAGCATGCAAGTTGAGGCAATTGCCTTGAAAGGATCAGCAAATGAGCCACGGATCCACAGCATGGCTGTCGCCAATAAACGCGGCCTGCGCCATGCATGAATCTATGACGCTAAGGTCCGCAAGATTGAGGACCCCACTGCTCAACCCTGCCAGGTTCACAAAGCCCAAGACACTCTATGTGTGGAGATACCGATCAATGGTATTAGGGCATTGGTATTGTTCGACTTGGGCTGCACTACCGACTCCATTACACCGGAGTTTGCGTATTTGTGCAAAGCAGGCAGGATTGACCTGCAGGAGCCAGTAGGCCTCCAACTTGGGACCAAGGGTAGTCGTACAAAAATCAATTTCGGGGCACAAGCTGAAATTGCACTGGGCTCAGTGCGTAATGCACACTACTTCAATGTCCTCGACATCGACAAGTACGATGCAATACTGGGAACAGTATTCTGTTGTAAGTATGGTATCGTACTGGACTTTGCAAACGACCGTGTCTCAGTCAGGAAACAGAGCATCCCACTCTTCAAGGAGGAAGCCATCTCCAAGATAACAAAATGATCAAAGGAGCCCATTAAGTGGGTAACTGAGAACGGACCGTCGGTCCAATAGGGGAGCATGGCAACGTCCACAAAAGTGGAACCTCCCCATACACGCTGATGCACTCAAGTCTCCCGTAACGGACGCTAGGACGTCGGGGTCGATGGGCCGAGAGGACGAGACCCGAGAAGTGTCTTGTGTGAGCGGGGGGTTCCGAGTACGATCCCGAGTACCCTACGACGCGGAAGGTGCGGGGAGGGGCCGAGCGAGCTTTTCGCTCCTGGCCTGTGAGGAAGGGATTGCGCGGACAATACGTGCTATTGCGGGGCGCAACGCGGGGGATCGGGGACGTGGGCTTTGGGAGTAGTACTCACTGTACGCAAAGAGACGAGGACGTCGGGGATGTTGTCGGGAGGGAACTCGCTGGCGCTGTCGAAGTCGCAGTCGCAGACGCCGTCGCAATCGCAAACTTGAGCTCTGAAGGGGTAAGAGAGAGTGGGATTTCCCGGAGCTCGGGGCCCCGCGTATATACAGGAGGGGCCAGAGCCGTACGGGAAGGATAAGACATAAAAGATGCACCCGTCGCGCAAGGCGCAACGGGCGCGACGATTGGGCCCCCTACGGGGGCCGCGCTCTGCGGGCCTTGCCTAGACTGTCGGGGCCGCGCGGTGTGATTGGTGGGCGGGGATGCATGCGCCGCGACCCCCGACGAGCGTATCGGGCGTTTCGTACTGCCCTCGAACCCCGATGCTTGTGGGGCTTGGCGCCCCCGGTCGGGACCACTTATCGCGGCTCGCCTTGCTCGACTCGCGGGTGGCGAGTGAGGGGTGGTGCGTGAGCGACGATGGGGCTTCGGGGAGGCTCAGGGCCGCTCGGGGCGCAGTACCCGCTAGGGAGTCGGCGTCGGGGCGGTCCGAGCTCGAGCGTGGTGCCCGCACCGCGGCGGGTGGCAGGCGCGGTGAGTACGCATCAACGCTATGCAAGACCGCAATGGTCATCAGAAGGGGGAGGGAACAGCCATATTGCCGTGACAATTCCGGTTCAACACCAAGTGTGAGCCGTTACCAGCCATGCTCCTGTAATTACAGAGTGCATAGTGCTGACACTTCATTCGCTGAGAGGTCCACACAAGGACTGCTTTGGATTTGATGACCCTTATGGGGTCAATGAGATGTTAGATTGCATAGCGAGCAATGCATGAGAGTACAAGGAAATTTGATGGTCCCATGTTGGGTTTGTCATCAACAATGACAAGGAAAAGGAGTTGATTAAGCTCTGAGAGAAGTGGTCTAAATCCACTAAGGACATCATGTGTCCTGCTCCTGAGGAACTCCTTCCTTTCCGAGAGGTGAATCACCAGATTCCCCTTATTGACGAGAAGAAAATCTACCACTATCACCTGCCTCGGTACACAGACACAATCAAGACTGATCTAATGACAAAAATCAACCGTTATGTGAAAGCAGGATGGTGGTGGCTGGCCACAGTAACACAAGCAGCGCTGCTGCTGTGTGTGGCCAAGAAGAACAGCAAGTTGAGAACCATCATTAATGCACGACAGAGGAATGAGAATATGGTCCACATTGTGGCGCACTCTCAAAAGGCTCGGATTCACTTGCAAGAAGGTATGTGCCACTCTATTGGCCTGTTGGCCTCCTCTAAGTCGCGTCAACCCATTCTGCTTCCGAAGATCTCAAAGACGGCACTCGAATGCAATCACAAACGCCGCATGCAATATATTGCGCACATGGGCATCAACTACAAAGCTGAGCAGCTCGTCTTCGTGGATGAGAGTTCGTTCGATCGCCGGACTTCATACCGTGGCTCGGTGTGGGCGTTGAAAGGTCGATGCGCATATTGGAGCTGCTTCTACGTCCGCGGGAAGAGGTCAGTGCATCAATTTGTTTCTACATGTATGGCAAGCTCACAATCCCGAACTAGGTATTCTGTCCTGCCTGCTTTGAGCCTCGATGGTATCATTTGGTGTGACATTGTCAATGGCTCCTTCAACACGCAGCGGTTTTTAGCTTTCATCCATGGCTTGCTCACTCAAATGCAACCGTTCCCACACCCGAGGTCTGTCATCGTCATGGACAACGCCAAAATCCACAAGGCACCTGAGATTTTGGAACTCATTGAGTCATAGTACGTCAATTGTGAACATGTATGCAACACGACTTACACGTTACAATAGTGGCATGCGGGTCGAGTATCTGCCTGCCTACTCTCCCGATTTCAACCCGATCGAGCAGGTGTTCTCAATCATGAAGGCCCATTTTCCAGCGCCACTTCCCTCATTTTGCACGCTCCAGTACATCTGGGACAAACACTACCGACGATGTCGAAGCTCGCAGTATGCTCTTGGATGTGGTGTACTTGGTGACGCCTGATAAAGCAGAGTTGTTCTTTTGTCATAGCCGTTACCTATGAAGTATGATATTCATGTTGCGAGTTTTGCTATGCTTGTTACAAAGAAAACAAATTATTCATTTGACTAGAAAAACGAGCGTGTACTATAGTATGAGGGACAAAATGAGTGTGGTATCGTGCAGTTGAAGCTGAGAGAGGAATCAATGGTATTGCCTGTGTTTGTCTCGACCTCCTGATATGCACTCTGTACAGTGATCTTCCGATGCAAATCAAATAAGACGACCTGCAACACCTACACTCATGCCTGGAATAAGACCACAAAGGTCATTTACAGTCAGTGGGAGAAGATCATCGAGGCGAAGCAAGCCAAGATGAGCAAACAATGGTCCATATTGCTGATAGTTCTGCTGGTCCATACCACGTGCCGGATCGGCGTCGAGCTGATGGAGCCACTCGTCAAGGTGTGGATTATACACCGGCACGGGAGCAGCGTATCCATTCCCATCGTCTGAGTTAGGACTAGCATCACGGTGGCGGCGGCGAGATGGTGAGGGTGTGACTGGGGAGCGGGATGGCGCAGAACGGCGACAATGATGAGGAGTTTGAGGTGCGCCATTTCGCGTAGCATCCGCACGATCACTGGGATGTGGCGCCGGTGGCCCTGCAAATTGCAGACCATACCCTGGCGGGTATGCGGGCGGAAGACCGGGTACCGGGCCCATGTTGTACAGCATTGGTGCAGTGACAGGAAAGCCATACATAGGCGGGAAAACAGGAGCGCTAGGGGCGAGAGGAGGAAGGACAGACGCGAGTGGATGGTTGCCGTACGGGTTGAGCACACCCATTAGCATCTGAACGAGTGCTTGGGGTGTTGAAGGGGGGATGGGGATTTGGGGATGAGGAGCTGCAGGAGCCACAGGTGCCATTGCCGGTGCTGTGGGAGCGGGAGCGGAGACGGAAGTGACTGTAGCAGGCTCAATGCTTGCAGGTGCCTCCGGTTGGACTGGCACACCGAGGTCTGGTGAAAGCTGCTTCGGGAATTCTGTCGGGCTTGCCTTGTCGCTGATCTAGAAGGTGAAGCATGAGACAAGGGTGTCAAAGTTGTATTGCAGCACACCTACAATCAGATACGCCCATTTGCTCATGGCTTTCATCGTGAGCTGACGGTGATCGCCGGGTGGGAGTACAATGCATGGCTTCTTGCATGCAGCACAGAAATACCGGGTCTGCAAGTCTTCGATTACCTTGCCTACAGGACTGCTGGAGGTATCTTGAGCTTCTGCACCGCTACGCTGGCCGCCGCTAGCGGATGCTCCCTTGTTGTCAGTCTATAGATTGTATATAGCGGGTGAGAACGTTAAGATCATGTCCTGTGCATAGACGTACCTGAGGCGGAGTATCGTCATCACCGACTCTTGACAAGATGATGGAGAACGGCTTCACAGTCCCATGACCACAGTTCTTGGCCTTCTCACTCTTGATGTGGGCGGTGATCTGTTCCCGAAGGCTGTCCCACTCGTCGTGGTCTTGCAGAAGTGTCGGTGCAAGTTTCTTGGTACCCTTCTGCTCCCAAGGGAGGATATATGCCACTCGCAGCAAGGATGGCTCACAGGCCATCTTGAGGGCGATCTGGGAACGCGCCGACCACCACAGGGTATCTGACGAGATCTGGACTTCTCGCAGCGCTTCCCCGCATGGAACCTTGAATGTAATCTTGAAGACTTCTCGTGCGAATGAATATAGTGTTGTCAGGTCAACTTCATGATTGCACAGAAGCTCATGCACGCACCTGGGATTTCCGAATCTGAATCCGAGCCCGCCGGGGTGGTTTCTGCCTTCTTCTTTCCCTTCTTCTTCCCCTTCACCGACATAATTTGATCGATAGCTTCAATGCTTATGACCGGCTCTTTACGCCCCGAGTCATTAGTAAAGATATGAAGACGTCAGTACATGGCAAGTGCAGAGATAGACAGCAGCATGTAGTACGTACCGCTCGGCTGAGCCTGAGCCGGACGAGGTGGGCTGTTGTCCTGCAATATGATATCTTCATCATCATCACCCTTCTCTTCGTCATTCTCGTCATCCTCTTCTTCTTCATCGTCACCATCGTCGATTTCTTCGGCATTGGCGTCTCCGGAGATATTCCTCGCCGCTTGATACAGCTTGCTCCCGGCGCTGGGCGTCACAGCTGCCTCCGGGGCGGCGCCAGAGCCCTCGATGCTGACTGGCGCATGGATGTCAACACTTGAGCAGCAGTGAGGGTGTTGTCGTCCACTGTCGCACTGCCCTGGCTCTTCGAAGAATTCTCCTTCGGGGCCCTTCTCACAGGACGTGGTCTCAGTGGCGGCTTCGGCGGCTTGACAGGCGTTGCAGGCTCAGGAGTATCTGCCGTCTTCTTTTTTCGGTTGTTTTTGCGGTTTCCCATATAGACAGAAAAGATGTATAGTAGTTGGATAAGCGAATGTGTGGATTAGAAATGTGTGAAGCAGATGAGTGGAGTAGCAGAGTGAAGTGTAGTTGTGGGCGCTTCTACATCGCACATAGCCCTCAAATTGTGGCACAGATGTTGTATCACACACACCTTGCACGTCCTCGTAAATGAACAAAAACTTAACATACAGAGTCTATCATGATGGCTGGACATGCACATGAGATATCCGCTACGTGGATAGCATAGATACAGCAGATGCTGACAAAAATATGTACTGTACCTCCAGGACCAAAGTGGCGGGGGGTTTGGGGTGTGACCGGCCGGACACGACTGTCCAAAGCGGCGCAACCGGCGGTGCCTGTGACCACCCGGTAGGCAAAGCGGCGCAGGGCCCCACAGGGCCGCCAAAAACGCCTTTTTGGAGTGTGACCGGTGTCGGCTCGCCGCCGCTGAAGCGGTGGGGGCGACTGTGACGTGGGACACACCCCCTAAAGCGGCGCGGCGGAGGTCGCTGTGACCTGTGACCCGCCGCTTTGGTCCTGGAGGTACAGTACAGGCAGTGGCCCACCGCTCAAGTAGTAAGCTTTGACAATGGACAGATCGCTATACTTTCCGAATGTGTCACCCTGCCCTCCGTGGCCCCTCTAGCACACCCTAAATGCTCCTCCTACGCGCCTGCGATGCGCGGTTCGTCCGCTATCCGTGTTCGCGTGCCGGAGGGGGTCGCCAAGAGCAGTTTGGTGAAAGTGATCGGATCGCGGCGCGAGTTGTACCGTGCCCTGCGCGCAGACGAGACGAGTCCAGAACTAAAGAAATAAAGCCGAAACCTGTAGAATTGAGCGAGCTATGGACGTTCGAAGTGGACGTGCTCCGAGAGCGAGGAGTGTGCGAAAAAATCGAAATCAGGCCGGGGACAAGCGCCCTGCAACCTGCAATAGTCACTCACTAGGTGCATGAAGACTTGCAGCTTCAGAGTGTTGAGGGATGGTGGGGGTCAAAGATCAAGATGGGATGACCGTTCCGAGCTAGCTGGGGGCCCTTTAGTATGCAATCTCAAGCCCTGCGCCCTGAGCCTATTCGAGGAGAAGTAGAGAGCCTACACACGCGTAAGCGGTTGTAGGCAGAACTCCGTTCAGACAGTCCGGTGCGAAGGGTCGAGTAGTCCGTAGTACATGACGTACGCAGGGCGTACTACGAGCGCGAATGGACGATTTGGGCCCGTCGGCGAGCACGGCCGTGTGGCCCGCCTTCTGGGCGGGTCTATGCGAAGAAGACGTAGACGGTCTATTCGCAAACGACGAGTACACGAAGTAGTCCGATCTGGTCGGAGCCCGAATAAAAATGGGCTGAACGCAGTGAACGTGAGCAAAATCTGGGCGAAATCTGGGCGAAATCCTCATAGACGCACATTCACCCGCAAGAAAATGTGCCGCTGCGCCCTGCAGTGTACCATCCGGACGAAATCGGGCGCTAACAGGCCTGTTGGCCCCGGACATTTTGGTCGTTTTCGGGGTCCGGCTCAACAGGCATCCCCACCCATTGTCGGGGGTCCCCGCTGACCGCGGTGTCCCCAGACGCAGGTGCACAGATGCGAAGTTTGTTCTCGTCTTGGCCTCTTGTAGTGAGGGCCACCAGAGGGGATACGGCGGCTCCGTACCGCGCGCCTGACGGTGGGGCACGTTGTATATAAAGACGGCAAAGGCGCTGGGACACGAGCGGGTATCGGGGAGGGCGAGAGGAGAGGCTGGTGGCTTACGCCCGAGTGCACCGCGCGGCGCTGGGCGGGTCGAGTTGACGTCGGTAGAGAACCAGGCACGCGAAGCGAGTTTAGCGGTGCACATGGAAGGGGGCGGTCCCAAGAGCCGGAGGCCAGGAGTCGACTTGACTTGTACCAGCCTATATGATACTCAAGTTCGCATTGCATATACATTGAGACACACGGACATCCCTGTGGGTTGATACCTCGCGCATCTACGGTGCATCATGCATGCATAGGTCTTTCAGTCCTGAGGCAATCCCTCTATAGACCATCAAGCTCTTCAGTTACGCCCACACGCGACCAAAGAAACGCAGAACTCACCGCCTACGACAAATCCCGCCGCGACCCACAAATCCTGCGACACCCATTGCCGCTCAACAGTGTACGCGATGAGCGCCCCGCTCGCATTCGGCACATCGCCCGCCCCGAGCTCGATCCCGTTATCGCAGATATACCGCAGCAGGAAGGCGATGTCCGCCCCGTCGGTGATCTTCTTCCCGTCCGACGCCCTCCCAGGCATCGACCCGCACTTCGCATCCAGCAGCAGCCGCGGGTGCAGCACGCGCACCCCGTCCACCGCGACCGTCGGCGTGCCCGCGTCGAACGCGCCCCTGAACAGCGCCGGGGGCGCGAGCACGTCGATGTCGACGCCCGTCGCAGCGTGCCGCGTGTGCCGCGTGCGCGGCTCGATGGCGAACGTGCCCGCGGCTTTGAGGAGCTGGCGCGCGGCGGGGGTGCACCCGCGCGGGACGACGACGTCGATGTCGTCCGTGAGGCGCTGCCCGCCGAGCAGGAGGCAGGCGCCACCGCCGACGATGGCGTATGGGATGTCATCGCCGAGCGCGGTGGCAACGGCTTTCGCGGCGGCTTTTGTGGAGGCGCGGGTGACGATCGTTCTTGAATGCGACATGCCGATAGGTACTTGGACCGTGGTTGGCTTGTATATGTGTACAGTGCTCGGGATCGAGATGGATCGCCGCACGTATATACTTGCAGTCCAGCCGGTGTCCTACGCAGACCCGGGGAAAGGCGCTGATCCAAGTCGCCTATGTAGATGTACATCAGCGTGATTCATACATAGATAGAAATGCGAGACGGCCTACTAAGTCTATAGCTGATAGAAAATGTCTACGGCGGGTATCGGGCAAAAAACGAGTTCGAATCCTGGAATCGCGGTGCTACGCTGACGTATAATGTGGTTGACGATGAGAGTCCAAATTACGCAGCAGCGCTTGAAACTGATACTTATCGGTGACCAGCAAACGCCGGCAAATGGGCGGCAAGAGTCATGTTGGCCAAGCAGCTCTATGTCCCTCGCAGCCGCTACGAAGGTCTAAAGAGCGCCCTAGAGGGAAGAGCATATGGGTTCTCATGGATAGAGTTCTCGCTGCATGGTCTCAGGGTCCAGAGCCGTAAGCTGGTGCATGTGGTCCACGAGACCAACCAATACGATACGATACCTTCCTAGACATAGCATAAATTACAGACAGCAATAGCATAGCGCGACCCCCGTCCATTATTATGTCTTAGTCATACGCAGCGACCAGATAACTCTGCGAAATCGAGCCCTAGTCAGCGCTGGGCATCATAAGGGGGATACGAAAGCACGATACGCACCTCCCGTTCCTGAAGAAACTCCAGATACGTCAGCGCGAGCGCGATGTAGAACGCGGGCTCGACGCCGAGGACGCGGACCTGCCGCTCATCCAGCTCGATCAGCCCCGAGTTGCAGTGTGCGGTCCAGACCGGCGTCCGGTCGTGGAACGTCAGCAGCGGAACCGGCGTAAGTGGGTTCCCGTCGCTCGTGCCCGCGCCCGCCTCAGCACCCGCAATTAGCCTCGGCTCAACCTCGCTCGTTGGAGAGGTGGGTGGCGCCGGTGTCGGTGCCGGCAGAGGCGCAGAGGGTATGGGCGAGAGCGTGAACGAGTAGGAATGGCTCGGGGCGTTGTTTTTAATCACGGACATGAGTCGCGTGAATATCGATACCTGCTGCACCTGCTCCGGGATGTGTGCGCGGGAGTGCGGGGTCAACACGAAGTGCGTGACCGCAGATTGCACAGTCGGCGGCGCGGGTCGGCGCTGAGGCCGAAGCGTCGGGGAGAGGGACACGGAGTCGAGCTTTGCGTGCACGGAGCGCGGCGAGGGCGGGTTGACCACGATGGAGGGGCCCTGTGGTGGTGTTGGTGGATAGGAGTGCATGGAGTCGCGGCTGCCATTGGTGAGCGTCGCATCCGAGTCGGTCGAGAAGTTCGTGATTATGGAAGGACGTGTTCGTGATGGCGGTGACGTCGGTGTTGCAGGGAGATTCGTCCGGCACGCAAACGAAAGGGCGGCCTCTGCATGATAGGGCGACGTTTGCGGTATTGGGGTGAGGGAAATGAACACGCCCGGGGGGAAGGAGGGTGCGCGCACGCGGATATACCACCCGCGCTTCGGCCGGTGGATTGTCCAAAGCAGCGTAGAGGTCTCGTTATCCTGCTATGAGATTAGTTGTGTCCGAGCTGAAAGAGAGGCCTCGGTGCGCACCACAATGTGTTCGATAATCTCGTCGTCCGACAGGAATCTTTCCTTCACAGATGTGAGGTTAGCTTCACGGCTCTGTCTCGCATGCGCGTTGCAGCCACACTCGCCTTGTACCACACTACCCTCTCCGATCCCTCCGCCTGAACATTCACTCGCATGTCCTCAAGAACGTCGGAGCTATGCAAGGGGTCAATGTCGATCAGCCAAGACAGAGGCAAGGACGTCATGCCTAGGCTCACAAGTCCTTACCTTTGCACAACATACCGCGCCGTTTCAGAGTCCCCTGCACCAGTACTGACTCCAGAAGTAGACATGAGATAGGTCCTCAAGGTGTTCTCAAAGGACGTGCGGGAGTGAGCGGCGGAAGAGTGAAAGGCTGGCACTGCGCTGCCACTCAGAGATGGTTGCTGCGCCCACGTTAGCGCCCATTGGAGCTTAATGGGTGTCTGACACTGCCCACCAATCGGAAGTGTCCGGAGCCCATCCGGGCCGTGCATGGAATTCACTGTCTCGGTCCGACGGCTCGTTCGCGTTCTTTCCTTCTGACCACCGCGACGACGCAGGCCTTGTCTCCTCTGCAGCTTGGCTGGTACGTTGGCGTGCAGCGCATACGGGTGATCGCAGGCTTTTGATACTGATGGGTACGTGCAGTGAATGGGGTGATACAACCAAATTGGCGCGAGCGCCGTTTGAGACGCTTCGACAAGGTTTGACATGGGACAGTCGCTGTGAATGCTCCCGGGCCAGTGCCGCTGCGACGCCCTACGGAGCCTGCAACCTTGCAAACGGTCACTGCAATACGACCTCGGTTAGGCAGGGGTGCGCGGCCGGGGGGAGCTCTTCCCATTTGGGCGGATCCCTGACCGGACGAGCCAGGCTCGGACCACAAGGGGGTCCATTCTGGCAGGCTCACCATCTCGGCATGCTCACGCATCTTGAATATATTACTTAGAAGGTATGTCGTAGGAAGCATCTATGACCGTATATGGACGTAGGACACGCTAACGCAATTTCAGTCTACGAAGTCAGTTTCTGTCCCTGACAATAACAGGAACCAACAGGTACCGCAAACATTGCGTATATGCCACTCGCGGGAGTCTGAGGGAAGTCGCCGAAGGCTTGTGTCATAGCATCTTTCGAAACGGGCTTCTCCATGACAGCCTTGGCTTTATACGACGGCGGCCGGAGCGCGCCTGGAGCGGTGTCGTAACCTTGCGGTGCGCTCTTGTCACCTTGGGATTTACCGTGTCTGAGGCTCAGCCGTGGCGTCAGGGTTCGACCAACACTACTGCGATCATGTGCTCCAAGGCGCATGAATAGGCAAGTTACCAAGCGCATATATGGTGCCATGAGAAGAGGCGGACGTCTTGAACAACTCCCGGACATTGAACGCTACTCTTATCCATCTCAATGCGTGTAGCTCAAGCTTCAAGGCCTGAACGCTTCGAAAGCGGCCGCCAGGGTCTCCGGACGCTTTCGTCCCAAGGCCGCAGCCCCGGCGTGAGGTTATCTTCATTCCGTCGGGGCATGAATAGCTCCCGGGCCCTTCATACTACCGCCCTTCATTGGGACTTTGTGCGGTACTCCCAAACATAGAACGTTACATCAAAGCGCTACACTCAACAACTCCCGAGGTAGATACGCATGTGTGGTGCTCACGTCCGAGGTTGGCTGCGAACATGGCCTAGGCGCGCAGGCGCGGTGATGCGAAATACGATGGCGTGACATTGCTCGCCAACGTCGCATGGCATCAACGGCGCGGTCGCACGGGCGAGAGCGGTTTCGTGTGTCACAAAGCGGTGTATTTTGGGCGCACGACGTCCTCAAACGCCGCCGAGGCACACCGCCCTCGTGTGCAATTTCCGGTGAGCAGATCCTGGTTATACGTTGCCAATTGATTGCCCGGCGTGCTGCTATGGTCGGAAATGTCACCGCCCATTTGCAATCGAGGGGCCAGACGCCGCCAGGAGTATTTGGCAGGCCACGGCCAGACGGTTGCACGTTCCCTCCTTTCCCCCCAACCCACCCAGGGCTTCTTCTCCCTCTTCCCTCTGCTTCCTCTTGTTGTATTAACTTTAGGGCGACTATTCTTCCGTAAACCATCAACACATTCCCGCCTTCGGAACCGCAATAACTATCACACTTAAGCGTCGCCCCAGAGCCGACGCGTATAATGGCTTCCCCGATGCGGATCATGCTCGAGGAGAAGTGCGTGCTTCCCTGTATCACGCCATTCACGCCGTTGACGGGTCCAACCGCCCTTCCCCTTTGCCTGCAGCCTCTCCACAACGTCCTTCATCCAGGACGCCAAGCCCCCTCCCGGGCTCGTTGGCTCGAGTAACCATCTCGCGCCCGAGCGTCCGATGGAGCTCGTGGACCTTAGGCGTATAAGCGTCCAAACCCGCGTCTCCGTAGTACCCATGGCCAGCACGTCCATTCACGATATCCAACCAACTCCGAAGGGCAAGCGAGGCTTAACATTCTGGCTGGTGTTCGCCTCCAACCTCCTGGTGGAGATGCTGTCTGCGCTAGACCTGGTAAGTCCGCCCGTACCTGTGATGTCGCTGTGACGCTAGAGCTAATGCTGGTCCCAGACGGCTGTCTCCACCGCCCTACCAACGATCGTGCAACGTTTGAACGGAAACGACTTCATCTGGGCCGGTGGTGCATATACGATCGCCTCAACCGCCGTGCTGCCTCTCGTCGGCGGCCTAGTATCTGGTTTCGGGCGCAAATATGTCCTCATTGTCTTCGTCACCTTCTTCGCAGTCGGCTCCGTGATCTGCGGAGCTGCTCAGAATATGACCATGCTCATCGCTGGTCGAGGTCAGTCCGGTGGCGATCACATCCTCCGACGGGACGAACTCACATTCCATCACAGCGATCCAAGGTATCGGCAGCGGCGGGAGCTTGTCCGTCACCGAGATCATCTTCGCCGATATGGTACCGCTCCCCGAACGAGGCAAGTTCCAGGGTATCGCCGCCGCGTACGTTATGTTGCGCCCATCCCACGCCTCTGACCCGCGCTGACTATCCCCGCAGGGTTTGGGCACTGGCATGGTACGTAGTCGCGCCCAGAACTGCCTCTCGTCGCCGCTGTCACGGGCTGACGCGCAGCTCGCAGCGCCATCGGACCGCCCATCGGAGGCGCTCTCGCAGGTTCCGGCGCATGGCGCTGGCTCTTCTACATGAACATCCCGCTGTGCGCGCTCGCGACCGCTGCGATCCTCTTCTGCCTCCCGAACATCGTTCCGAAGGGGAGTGCGATGAAGAAGATCGCAGAGATGGACTGGATGTGAGTGTTATTACCACCGCGGCGCGCTCCGCCATGACCGCATGCTGACTGCGGTACCTCGCGCGCAGCGGAAACGCCGTCATCGTCACGAGCACGATTCTGGTGTTCCTTGGACTGACCTGGGGCGGCCTCCGTTTCCCGTGGATCTCGCCCGAAGTGCTCATCACGCTCATCCTGGGTGTGATCGGCATCACTGTGTTCTTCGTCATCGAGAAGCTTTGGCTGCACGGCCAAACTGTGAGTTTACGTATCACCACTTCATAGGGCGATGGCGCTGAATTGCTTACTAGGTTCCTGAATTCTTCTTCACGAACCGGACAACTCTCAGCGGGTACGTGATCTTTGAGTCTATAGCGGTACCATGACTCTAACGACCAACAGATATCTTGGAACGTTCTTCCACGGCGTCGTCTCTCTGACTGCTGTTTGTGAGTTCACAAAGCCTTTGCCTGCATATACGCGTCCCTCTGACTCTGCTTAGACTATCTACCTATTTATCTGCAAGCCTCGAAAGAAGCGAGCGCGCTCAAGTCCGGCATCGAAATGTTCGGTCTCTCCTTCACGATCCCGATCTTTGCCATCGTCGCCGGTGTCAGCGTCGAGATCATCCACATCTATCGCCCGCAGAACTACGTCGGGTGGCTGTTCAGCATCGTCGGTTTCGTCCTGCTGTCGCTTTTGAACGAGAAGAGCAGCGCGGCGACGTACATCGGCTTCCAGATCCCCCTCGGCGTTGGCCTCGGCATACTGTGGATCAGCACGCAGTTCCCCATCCTCGCACCGCTCCCGGTCTCGAACAGCGCATACGCCCTCGCGTTCTTCGTTTTCGTCCGCAACTTCGCGCAGGTGAGCACATACCTCGGAATCCGTTATCCTTGCGCATACTGACAGACGACGCGAACGCAGAGTTGGGGCATCGTTGTCGGCGGCGCGATCTTGCAGAACGTGCTGACGGAGAAGCTGCCGAAGTCGCTCACAGATACACTCCCGAAGGACCAGGAGTACGCGTACCAGCTCATCCCGACGATCCCGGGCATGCTCGAACCGCAGAAGAGCGAGGTGCGCGCGGCGTTCGCGGACGGCACGAAGCTCATCTGGCAGGTCATGATCGGGCTGTCCGTCGCGGGGCTGCTGACGTGCCTGCTTATGCGCGAAGAGGAGATGAAGACGGAGATGGACGAGACATGGGCCGTCGTCGACAAGGCGAAGAAGGTTAGCGACGACGACGAGGAGCACGCGTGAGCGTCCGTTCTGGCGGGCACACGATGCATGGTACTGTTGTGCATATGTAATCTACTATACTACTGGACGCTATTATATTGCGACGAATAATGTCAAGTCCTGCGGCTGGTCGTGGCGACAGATGATGGAACAATGTAACACTGTCTTTACTTGGAGATGCAATGTGCGCGACTCAAGTGCTTTCCGGGCCTCCGACACGGATCAAAATGTTCGGAGCGCCCGTGCCTCAGCGTCATCCTTGGAAAGTTCGTCTCGAACCGACCTGCGACGCGAACGCGTGGCTGTCTCTCTTCTCGACGCCCACCATGCCCTGCTAAGTCCTAGACGCTTTTCTTTGACCGTGACATGCCTCCTGGTCCAGCGTACACGTGGCTATGCATCGCCAGCTCGGTCTGCAACATCCTTTCGCATGCCGCACACATTCGCGCATCTCAGCTCTCGCGGGCGCGGCAAGCAATATGCGAAACGGAAATACTTACACGAAGACGAGAGAGAGACGAGTCGTATCCGTACGAAGGCGCTGGGGCGACATCCTCTCAAGGTCCTCAACTTCAGCCACCCGTGCAGAGCTCTCTTCGTAGCAAGTTGAAGGAATCCCGCAACAGTCCTCCAGAGACACTAGGGAGCATACCCCGTGGCGGGGATGTAGCAGGTTATACGGCTGAAGCAGTACGTTGAATCATTCGTGCCGCTAGGGTCACTCACAGAGCGTGCAGTAGGCCGTAAGTCCAAGTCCAAGTCCTCTTGAGTCTAAGCCGCCCCCATCTGTCGCAGTGCGGATGGAGGCAATAGAGAGGTCTTCGCGTTCAATGCAGAGTGTGCCCGTGACCGCACCGTGCGAACCGACAGCATCTGCAGACCTACCGAAGATTCACCAGAGCGTGCAAGCTACATCAGTGGAAAGCTATGCTTCGCCAACACCATCGCCAGCAGAGAAGAGAGAAGCACCATCCATTGAGGATGCGTCTGTGAGCACAGGTGTTCCCGGCCCTGGAGAAGTACGTTGAAGCATGCACCTGAAACCCCTCCGACATACTAACATCTTCTGATGTTCAGCAAGTGTCTCTTGAACAACTACGCAACCGGAACCTGCAGTCCTCCAAAGTGCCGTCATCACGGATAGGGCGTTTGTTCCACTACGGAGGTGAGTGTACCCGGGCCATCGTCTAGTTAGAAACAGTGACCTCAATGTACTGGGTATCAAAGGTCTCGCGGCGTCACTAGGTTATGGCGCAGCATCCGAGATACTGCGTCGTACGACAAGCGGCACGGATGAGCACGCGCCTTCCTCGCTCATGCTCACCGAGGGAAACATCAAACGACTCGTGTCAAAACTCACCCAGATGCGTGGCGCAGCGCTCAAATTAGGGCAATTCATGAGCATCCAAGGTCTGCCCAGGGCATACATCTGCCGTTATCACGCCACTGACGGACCTCGCTCTGTAAGACAGTCATGTACTCCCACCGGAGATCGAGGATATCTTCCGCCGGGTGCAGGATAGCGCGCACTACATGCCTGACTGGCAAATGGAGGTGGGGTCCATTTGCCCTCCGCTGCCCGGAAGCAATCTCACACTGTAACGCGTAGCAAGTGATGCGGGACGCCCTCGGGCCGTCCTGGATGGACACCTTCGAGTCGTTCGACCGCCTTCCCTTTGCAGCGGCCTCCATTGGGCAGGTGCATTCTGCTGTCTTGAAAGCCTCTGCCTCCCCGACTTCCGCGCCCGCGCGCGTCGCCGTCAAGGTGCAGTTCCCGAACATCGTGAACTCGATCGCAAGCGACCTCGGGTACGTGAAGATGCTGCTCACCGCGGGCAAGCTCCTTCCGCGGGGGCTCTTCCTCGACCGCACGATCCAGGTCATGAAGGAGGAGCTCGCGGACGAGTGCGACTACGCGCGCGAGGCGGGCTTCGTGCGCCGCTTTGGGCAGGCGGACCACCTTGGGGCCGACCCGCGCTTCACGGTGCCTTGGGTCTGGGAGGGCAGCACGGAGCGCGTGCTGGTCATGGAGCACGTCGACGGCGTGAGCGTGGGCGGGGCTGTGATCGATCGCCTCTCGCAGCGCGATAGGAACGACGTGAGCGTGCACATGTGCGGTTTGTAGGGATCACACTGACGTACGGCGCTGGATAGATCGCGGCGCGCATCATAGAGCTCTGCTTGCGCGAGCTGTTCGTGTTCAGGGTGATGCAAACTGACCCGAACTGGACGAACTTCCTCTGGAACCCGCATACGCGCAAGGTGGGCGCGCATCTCGTTCAATCCCCATCGGTGGTATTGACGTTTACTCCCGGTCTAGGTTGAGCTAGTTGACTTTGGGGCCACCCGTGAATACTCGAAGGAGTTCATCGACAACTGGCTGCACCTCCTTTCCGCTGCCGTCGCCGAAGATCGTGACGCGTGCGTCGAATGGAGCCTGAAGCTGGGGTACCTCACCGGCCAGGAGAATGAGGTTCGACTTCGATCCGCTATATACACTGCACGACTGATTGACTGACTGCGCAACCCCATTCAGGTCATGCTCGACGCGCACGTCAAGTCGATGGTGCTGCTCGGCACGCCGTTCAAGGCGACCACTCCGCAGCCGTTCACATTCGGTCCTGGGTCCGCCTGGGCAGACATCACGGCGGAGATCAGGGCGCAGATCCCAGTCATGCTCCAGCACCGGCTCACACCTCCGCCACGGGAGACCTACAGCTTAAACAGGTGCGTTTGGGTGTTATGTTGCTGCCCAGGGTTGCGACTGACGGTGTATCCGGATGGTCCCAGGAAACTGAGTGGCGCGTTCTTGCTCGCGTCGAGGTTGGGCGCCGAGGTCGATTGCAGGAAGCTGTGGACGGGTGTTGTAGAGGGATATCGGTATGGTTGATGTTATATTTTAGTACACTATCCTCGCTCTGCTGTAGACGTGACGTAATAGCACGGACACTGCCCCACCTCATCAACATCGCACTGAGTAAAGCTGTGTCATGATCGTTAGTCTGGTTTCTGAGGACACCGAATTCTTTGCATTTACACAAACCCTGGCGGCGTACGTGATGAGGAACAGCGACATGCATACACGGCTACAGGTCATTGTATATGCGACTAGGTAGGGTAATGCGCTGTTGAAAGTATACTGAATTACACTACGGTGTATAGGGGTGGCGGGTGTTGAACCTCAGTGTCGTCTACAAAAAATCCATCTGTGTCCCAAAGTCGTGAGTCGTGAGATCGTTCAGAGCTCCTTCCTAGACTCTGCCTGCGCAGCCGCCCGCTTGGAGTATATCGCGTCCGTGAATGGGCTGGAAAGCACATAGACGTAAGATTGGGTAGCGCGAGGACCGTTAATGCGCGATGCACGTACCCCTCAAACCGAAGCGCAATCAAGTACACAATGTACACGTACGCCGTGACGAATAGCCCAGCGGGGCGCTCGAACCTGGCAAGACACGACCGTTACGTCAACAGGCTGCACGCACGCGCGGCGCGAGGTGGGCACTCACCAGAGGGCGGTCGCGGCGAAGGACATCGTGCTCCCGACGTACATCGGATCGCGCAGGACGTTGAACGGGAAGCCCTCGACGCGGTGGTCCATGAGGATCCCAAAGTAGTCGCCCAGGAAAGTCCCAGTGACCCCGAGTGCCCAAGTAGAGGTCACGACGAAGATCTGCCCGAGGCTGAAGAGCACGGCGGGGATGAGCGTATCTAGTGGTTCTGGCAGTAGCTTCACTTGCGGCTGCTCTAGCACTGCGCGGTGGTATCTGTGCGGACGTGTCAGCGGCAGTGAACGGGGCAGCGTCATATGGTAGGGGGACGTACAGCGAGTCGCGCAACATGCCCGCGGAGAAGATGCACAGTGCAAGGAAGTAGCACCCATACCGCGCGTTCCCTCCAAATATGCGCGTTATCGTCTTGTTCCTGTACTCTGCGCGCGAGAGGGCGCGGGGGTCAGTACGAGCTCGGAGGGGCGACAGCGGTGTCGGGACACACCATTGCGCGCGACGATATTCCACGCGGTCGGGTTGAACGCGATCGACGCGACACATGCGATCAAGGAGGGCTTGGAGAGGTCGATGAAGGTCGTGAGCGAGCTCGCCATATTTTGGGTCGTGGAGGACGTCGTGAGCGATGAGCACAGAGCAGCAACCAATTGTGCCACGCCGCCACTTCAAGCTCGCCAGACTTTTGGGGCGTATTTCACGTGTCTGCGGACATTTTGGGCGCCTGTTGGGGATACATATTAGGCGCCGGATGTACTTCGCGGTACAATTCGGCGTCTATCGTACCAGCCAATCAGGAGGCATGTCTCTGACCAGCCTCATAATAACGGCCCTCGACAACTTTCTATGTGATACTTGAGGTTAATCTCCCACCTGGTTTGGTCTATGTGATTCTTGTCTGTCTATAGGCTCGTAAACTAGCCTCACGTTCGGGGCGGAAGACAATCGTTCCTCCCGAAGGGTCTGTCTATGGCCGGCCCCGCGTCGTCTCCGCGCACTGCACTCGTTTCTATCGCAGCCTTATGCCACACATAGCACGTTCGCGATCTGCCGGGACTCAACCTTACGAGACCTGGGACATGCCCCCCCCCCCCCCCCCCCCCCCCCCCCCCCCCCCCCC